CGCCTAGAAACACACAGCGTCTCCCTGACATGGCTGCTTCAACACTAACTGCGGTTACTGAAACCACGCCTTCTTTCTTTGCGTGCACATTTGGGCGCATTATGCAAATATTCCCACATAGTGACGTAGATATGTGGGGGCGTGTTAGAACGAGCCGTTTTAGGGGGGCGTGGCAGAGTCTTAACTTTGATAAAGAATATCTCTTTGGGTTTGTAACTTTAGTCTTTGCAACTTCAGGGATCTTATCTATACACAATCAGCTTGTAACACTCCAAAGAGAAAGGAAAACTTGAAATCGCATCATATGACCGATTTAACTAATGAGGTCTTATTGTAAAGTGATACCTATTGGTATTTATAGTTCTTTTGCACTTTAATCTGTGTAAAATGTTTAACTTTATACATTTTTCTGTATAAAAAATTATTTAAATTTTCAGTTATTTTGTTATAAGAAAAAAGTTATTAAACCTGTTATACTGTATTATGACAACACTTTTTTTGAAACTAAATTTCAATATTGTGATAATACCGTATACCGTGATAAAAGCATTGGCAATTAATCGCAACATGAAAATCTGATAACGGCATATCCCTATTCCACTCGTTTAAACTGAATCAGAATGATCAGGGAACTGAGGGAAATACTTCACTCAAACTAAAGAAAATAAATGTCAATCCAACTGAAAAACTTTGATGGTAAACAGCATTCTATGGAAGCCCGTTTCCCCCACTGAATTAAAAAAAAAACAAAAAAAGGTAATTGCGACTTTATCTCACGATTCTGACTTTTTTTCCTCGCAATTGCGAATTTACATCTCGCAATTCTGATTTGATTCTGATTCAGAATTGCGTGATATAAACTCACAATTACGAGAAATAAAGTCAGAATTGCAAGATAAAATCTCACAATTCTGACTTTTTTTCTTGCAAATGAGTGCTTGTATCATGCAATTCTGAAAAAAAAAGTCAGAATTGAGAGATGTAAACTTGCAATTACGAGAAAAAAAGTCAGAATTGTGAGATAGATTAATTTAATTTTTTTATTCAGTGGCAGAAATAGGCTTCCATAGCGTTCAACGTGTGGGTTCCTGACAGAAACAGGAAGTTGTGCAGTTTTGACAGACATTTTTTATGCATATGTTCATATGCTGATGTAATATATATTACTGAACTGGAAATTTGATTTTTATAAAATGTAGTTTAATCACTACCTTCTCAGTTGTTATCAAATTTATTTATCAAATTATCAAAGTTTGATAAAATCTTGTTTCATTTTCCAATAAAAGATGATACATGAAAAACGTAACTTTTTAACGTAATTTTTTACATTTTATACCTCTTAGCAGATTTTGACTCTCAAACTGCTTTTTGCATCTAACAAACAAAAGCCATAAAATCCCAAATGAAGTAACTATTGTGCTGCATGAGTCTTGTTGAGACAGGGCACTTCAGGCACAGTTTAACTAGATGAGCCTGGTTAATCAGTTCTGCTGAGTTAGACAGCATGTGAAGTACAAGAGGAGCAACCCTTGAAATGTGATCCCTCTGAACAACAGCTCTCTACATCAGCAAATTTCCCTCAGCAGAACAGTGTTGGTGAATGTGATTACAAACGCCTCAGACATCCCACAACAACACGAGAGTGTCAGCATATCGTCAGGGATTGATCGTGTGTTTTATCAGGGTGATTGATTGCTTTCGTGTGAATCTGAGGGTTGACAGCATGCAGACAAGTGCTGAATGGAGGAGGACTATTGTCTCCACTCACCAGGCCTGCGCTGTAGTATCCAGGCAGGTACTTCTCACAGATCTGGACAAGACCCCAGAATGCATCCTACCAAAGCAAGACCATAAAAGAGTAAAAGACCAGAACAGGGCATGAGTTTAACTTGCTGCTGTACTCAAATAATTAAGACCATTGAAACTAATAAATATTATATATGAATATAATACATTAAAACACATGCAAAACAACCAATTTCAGATGCAACAAATAATCTGCAAATATTGTAATGCATTTTAACTTTGGTTGAAATTATGAAAATATATTGTATTACAACATGCATTATGAATGTATTTATAATGCATTATATATAAAGGCTTCAAATAAAGTGTTGCCAATAGTTCTAATGTTTTATTCGAAGACATAAAACAGGTATAATAGATAACTGTATAAATCAATAAATAATTTATGAGATGCATTCAAAACTACAACAAGGACCATCTGCCAAAGACGAGCACAATAATGGACTGCAGACTGACCTCAGCAGGCATGTGCATGAGCAGCACTGCGGCTATAGGAGCTTGAGCCTGACAGTAACCCTCCTCTGGTCTGTGCAGCGTGTACGCCTTCAGCACCCGGAACAGATCCTGCTGCCTGCACAGTGCACACGCACATGACCAACTTATGTAACAGAAGCAATGGGGTTCAAATGGAGAGGCCCGCAGGTGAAGAGAGGGCTGACTTACCCGTGGCCTCCTCGAGCTACGAACATCTCGTGGAATGGAAACTGTCTGTGGAGGTCTTTCTCTATCACATCCAGCCATTTAGGATCTCCAGGCTGACTGTCCAACTCCTGCCACATAAAGACACATAAAGTCACGCTTATTTATATAGCACTTTATACAATACAGACTGTTCAAATGGACAAACCTGAAATTTTCCCTGATTCTGTTCTTTCTTCACTTTCCCACCAGAGAGATAAAGCCATGCACGACCTCTGAGTGATGGAGGGATGCCCTTCTGACAGCGCAACTTCACCTTCAGAGTGACAGAGAGAGACACTGAGCTTGTACACTTGCATATTAGGATGAACTATGACCTTTTGTCTTAATGTAAATATTAAATGAAACTGAGCACTTGCATTCACAAACCAAGTTTATACTTTTGTGTGAGAGTGACGCAAACGACCACCAACACTAGAGGACTCTAGAGTTCATTTAGAGTGCTTGCATAATTCACTACTTCTCAAGAAATAAGGCATAAAAGTGTATTTCATTTCTATTTTTGCTTAATCGGATGGTAAAATGTGACTGGAATAATTATGGCTATCGCAAATAATCACGACAGGCCGTGTTGAGCAGAATTACAGTAATTATGCATGAGCTGCTGATGTGGCATCTAGCTGCTGTTAACTTGAGAAATGACTAACTCTGTGTTTTGTCTGCAAGGTTTGTCATTGGAGAGAAATTCAGAATCAAGAGAATCATAAACTCGAATTATAAAAGCAAATGGTAAAAGGACATTTAACATTCTTGTAGAGACAACATTTACGACAAACATGGGTTTTTAAATGGCTGATGTCTAAAGCACATGGGTGGCCAAAGGTCAGTATAAATAATATAATAAGGAGTTCTGTGGGTGGATATTTTGTGTGGGTCTGGTCACATCTTTATCTGATTCTATTAAAAAGTTTGTGACTTTGAAAGCACACGATGCGAGACGTGCAGTCAAATTCCGAAGATAACATCATGTTGTTGTTGTTGAGCGTTTTATGAACTTTAAAGCATTCGCTAAGGAATTTGAGCTATTCAAGAACAAAAATAAAACCTGTGGATAAACACAGGTCTGTTTGTCAGAGACCAACCTTCTTGTGTTTTTTGGCCATCCACTTGTCCCAACTGTTGAGCATATCCAGCCATTTGGCTTCTCTCTGCCGGAGCACGTCTGGAGGAATATCAGCACTGCATTGAGAGAGAACAAAAAGAGATTAGATCATTTATCTGATATAATATGTATGCAAGCACACCCACGCATACAAAATCACACGTTAGCAAATATAGGGTTGGGAACCGAGAACTGGTTCTTGTTCAGAACAGATGTTCATGACATTCTGTTCTCTTAGCGGTAATGGCTCATCTGCACTTGTAAAAAATACTCAGAAAGTGTTTTCTGGAACACCATTCAGCAACAGAGCATGGCTGTCACCGAATCGACAAAGTTGATTGAATAAGCCTAATAACTCACTCCCTCACTGAACTGGCCAGAGGGCTTGGTTGCCTTCATCGTGCCCCACTTGATTTGAAAAGAGAAACCTGTTACCATGTTATGTGTAGTAGTCAAATATTCATACCTTAAAGATGTACAGAAAATACCTGGAAACAGAATCAAATATAACATTAATGGAATCAGTGAAACTGGATCAAAAAATTTTATTTTCTTTTGATTCTCATCCCTATACATTTAGAAGCACATCCTTATATATGTATAAACTCATCCCCATATTATCAAAAATGGGGGTTTATTAAGGAGGTGTTTACATGACGCCATTTTCAACTAAAAATGAAAATGCACTAACTTATGCATTTTGGCTGTTCATTTACACAACAAAGCCATTTTGGGGGCCTGAAAATCCAAACTTTTGAAAGCGGTGACGTCATACGGATGCATGTTACATGTTACAAGTCTATAGCTATAGGTATTTGTACGTGCACAGACGGGTATTGTTTTTATACCAGTGACATCGCCATCTACTGGCCTGGCATGAATAACACAGTATTTTTATACGTTTTTGCGGAGTAGTGTGAACAGGAATCACTTTGACAATGTGGTCGTCTGTACTGTACACAAAACTTTTAAAAAGCACAAAGGAAAAACTTTGCTGTTTTTAGTACCATCATTGTCATGTAAACATACCATTAGAAATGTATCCCTAATATATTAATAAACTCATCCCTGTATATTTACAATTTCATCCCTATTTAGTTCCAAACTAATCCTTTCATATTTACAAATTCCTTCCTACTTACTGAATAATCAATCCTTGGCATTTACATACTCATCTCTAATAATTTATAAGCTCACGTCTATTTATTTACAAATCAATCCTTATATAAATAATACATTTACAAACTCAACCCTATATGTTTAGAAACTCATCCCTATACATGGAGAAGCTCGACAGCTCTTGACCTGATATGTCCATGCCAGCGGCAAGGCACTGTTTGAAAAGAATAACGTGGGTGTCAAATTATCTCAATTGAATCTGAGTACTGTAGGAGTCATCATATGTTCACAGCAGGTTCTTCAGAGGGAAATCCAAAACACAAGCTGCTTTCCACTGTAGAACAAATATCACCTGTTTTCAACTAGCCTACTACCGTCATGTTTAGCAACTTAGTAACAGTGCCTTCAAATGTATTACTTGGTTGCACAACCATAAAAAGTGATGTTAATGTGGGATGTTTATAAGAACGTTTTGGACAGAGTGGGGGAGATCACTGGGGAAAGCCGTGTTTCTGGGAATCTTTCTGAACTTGTGTTCTGTCTGATTAAGTGACCCCAGCGCCTCGGCCTGAAAGGCTTTTCATTACATCCAGCTGACAGACACACCCTTAATATGTAATTGAGTGCATTTATATCAGATTAGGGAAAAAAAAAAAAAACATTTAAAAAAAAAACAAGAAAAGAGCTGACAGAGATTTAAAGTAATTGTTAAAATAAAATAAAAAAAATAAGTAACTTTAGTTCAGAAAACATTAATGCTTGTCTTTGCATAACCTGCCATAGGGTTGGAGCCTGTTAAATACCTTAACCTCAAAAAGAGCATTAGCAACAGCACTTCTAATGGCTCTAGTCCTGTTTCTGTGCTTTATAATTGTAGTGGTCGGTGGGAGGTGGACTGACTCATGTCAGAGAAGTTACAACATATTAAGCAATGAAGAATATTTTGACAGTTCCTTTCTTCATCAAATGTGACAAGATAAGTATATAATAAACACAGATAACACAATTATTACTCAGTGGCATGATGCAGATTTTTTTGGGGGTCTGTTTTATTAAAAAATAAATTAGAAAGGTATTTTGGCACTGTTATTTCTTAGCTTATAAAATAATAAATCAAGATATTTATAAAAACTACTTTTTACCTTGAAATTTGTTTTAAAAAAATACTACTTAAGATGTGTACACATTAATTTAATTTGTAAGGGAAATATGTTATTACTTTTTATTTAATGGTTACACCTATTGACATTTGTGACCCTGGACCACAAAACCAGTCATAAGTAGCACGGACATATTTGTAGCAATAGCAAACAATACATTGTATGGGTCCAAATTATCAATTTTTCTTTTATGCCAAAATAATTAGGATCATTAAGTAAAGATCATGTTCCATGAAGATATTTTGTAAATTTCCTACCGTAAATATATCAAAACTTAATTTGTGATTAGTAATATGCGTTGCTAAGAACTTCATTTGGACAACTTTAAAGGTTATTTTCTCAATATTTAGATTTTTTTTTTTTTGCACCCTCAGATTCCAGATTTTCAAAATAGTTGTATCTCGGCCAAATATTCTCCTATCCTAACAAACCATACATCAATGGAAAGCTGGTTTATTCAGCATTCAGATGATGTATAAATCTCAATTTCAAAAAAATGACCCTTATGACTGGTTTTGTGGTCCAGGGTCACATTCAATTTAAACTTTTCTTGAAAATGGTATAGAAGTTTTTCAAAATCATATGGAATTAACAAATAAAAATAGATTACATTTATAAGAATGTGGCACAGATTTTGAAACACTTTTTCCTTTTCTGTATTGCAGACACTTGTCGCTTATGATGGAGTAAATGTATGATGATTATGGATGAAAAGCATGTTATGAAACAAATAATGGTATCCCTGAGATACCAAGGGATCCAATAATCTCCTGGCAAAAGGTCAGTAACAGGACAGGCTGCGTAAACCCTGATGGCTCACGCAGACACTCGGTCTTGAAATGGACAGCAAATATACTCACACAGGTGCAGTGTGTACATAGATTAGATTGGATTATCGTCAGCGATCAGATTACAGATGATTGCGGTGGTTTAGATCTATGGAAAAGAAGCAAGGCCTGCCGTTCGCCTGTTTACTTTTCCTGTGTACACCAGTCAAGCAAATTATGTGATGCTGAAAACACAGATTCAGTTGAATGGAGTTGAATGGAGACTGGAGGATGGGCTCATGAAGTACAAGAGAAATTGTCTCATGGAAAGGGTTGAGGGCCCTTTGACCGTACAAGTATCATATAAGTACTCAAAAAGTGTTTCCTTTCACCCTATAGAAACATTCTTCAGACCAGTTAGTAGAAGAGGAAAACAGGAAGCACATGACTGCCAAAAAATCCCTTTGCTCTCTTTCCTTGACTGTTCCTTTCCAGGTGCTCACTAACACATAGCTAGGGCTAAGTAGACAGACAATCTCTGACTGGCAAAATAAGAACTGAAACTGTGTTAATATATTACATAGATAGTTCAGACCAGACTATAATATTCTGATTGGATGAGTCACATACGGAGCGAAAAACCATCCAAAAACAATTTATGGCCACAGATTCCAATCAGTTTGAATGAAAAAGCTCCTCTCAGAGCACACCAGAAGATCCAAACACAAATAAAAATCTGTTATGTGCGTTCCAAACATGAACCGGTGCACTAAAATGCTCCCCAGAGGCTTGGCGCTTGGTTTCATCTCCATGGCAGTAGTAAACAAATGGAGGGAAACAAAAGCCAAACAGTGAAATGTCATAAGTGAGTCAATAACTCTCTATAGAGAAGTGCAATTGTCATTGTCAATTGTGCAAACTGTCCTTGCAGCATGAGCACAGCCCTCTTTCTCCAACAGCCTTTAATGTCATTAAGTATGAATGATTTTTGTGTCATGATGGTTCACAGTAATGACAGAACCCTCAAAGACCTCTTTTATACGATATTGGATGGGAAAGAGAGAAGAAAATGTTATTTTCTAATAAAAATGCACAGAATTTTTCCAAGAGACAAAGTCAAAACTAATGCAGTCCATTTCTTATAGCCAAGATGGAGCATCAGCAGATTTCTGAAGAATTAATTTTAATATGATAAACAGGAGTTAAAAGTACTATGCTTAAATGTGTTTGGGGGCGGTATGATTTTTTCATGTTTTTGAAAGAAGTTTCTTCTGCTCTCCAAGGCCGCATTTATTTCATAAAAAAATACAGTAAAAACAGTAATATTGTGAAATATTATTTAACTTCCAAATAACTATTTTTTTATTTGAATATATTTTAAAACGTAATTTATTTCTGTGATGCAAAGCTGAATTTTAAGCATCATTACTCCAGCCTTCAGTGTCACAAGATCCTTCAGAAACCATTCTAATATGCTGATTTGCTTCTGAAGAAACATTTCTGATTATTATCAATACTGAAAACAATTGTGCTGCGGAATATTTTTCAGGATTCCTTGATGAATAGACAAAACAGAAAGAATAGAACTGAAATGACTTTACTGTCACGTTTGATCAATTTAATGCATCCTTGCTAAATTGTAGCAATTACTTAAAAAAAATAATAATAATAAATTAAAAAAACAACTGAGGGTATTTCTTAAGTAGACGTGTATTCTGATAAAATATTTTTTGGCAAGTAATATGTAAATTGCAAGTATTTCATTGTATTATACAAGATGTGTTACATGCCAAAAAATTACATAAGTGAAGACACAAGGATCAGCGGATGTGTGCATACATTTTGGAGTTTCTGTGCCTGCTAATACTCATCAGACTGCATGGCTTGGAAGATGATTTGATTTTTTTCAATTTTATCAGCAATTAAAACTATTTAGATGCCGGCCTGCCACACTAATGCTTCTCGAATGAACTGAATGAGTCACTGAGTGGTTTCATTTCAAAACTGAAAACACTTGCAGGGAGGTTCTGCCAAAACAAATCAATGAGCAATTCTGAGTGCTAAAGGGAGTTCACAGCATGAGGGGAAACTCCTGCTTGAGTCTAAATGAGAGACTGGAAAGAAACACACTGTTGTACAGGGAATAAGAGATATTCTTCATGTGAACTGTAGAGGACAGATGTGCCTTTCTGCGATTACTTCAACAGCAGATTAATCTGATCAGTGCCTGGTTGCTTGGCCAAACAGAACCACATTGTCCAGAGTCATTAGAGACACTCGTGTAAGTCAATGCAAAACAGACAAGTGTTTGTAACAGCTGCAGAAGAGGAGAATGCAGGCGATTTACAGGATCATCTAGAAAAAAAATAATAATTTGGCATGAACATTAGTTTGTACAATATATGCAGGCTTAAGATTAATACACTACATGTCAAAAGTAAGACTTTTTTTTAAGAAATTCATACTTTTATTCAGCAAGGATGCATTCCATTGTTCAAAAGTGACAAGAAATTGATAATGTTAAAAGATATTTCTTCTATTTCGGATAAATGATTTACTTAGAATGTAATAGATCGTTTTCTATCAAAGAATCCTGAAAAAAAGTATTACCATTTTTACAAAAATGTTAAGCGGCACAACTGTTTTCAACATTAATAATTATCAGAAATATTTCTTGTGCAGCAAATCAGCATATTAGAATTATTTCTGAAGGATCATGTGACACTGAAGACTGGAGTAATGAAACAGAAATAAATTACATTTTAAACTATATTC